AATTCATTTGTACTAGTTGAATCAGTTTAATTTGTGGGCTGCACGGCCAACAGCTTTGATAATGCATTGTGTAGTACTTGGGTTTATACATTGGCCTACTTTTTACAAAAAGGTAGGGGTTTAATGACAGTTTTTGACAACTAGCTGATACAGGAGCTTCTGTAGATGCTATCTTATCTAATAGAGCTCAAGTGTGATACAGATCTTGGAGCTGAGTCCTGCTGACAGCACGTGTCTCCACTCTTGTTTCATGAGCTCAAAACACCAAGTGGGTAAACTGGGTTTATAAATTTCTGTTTGTAAGCTTTCTTCCCAGGGTAGTTACGATCACTCAAGCTTATGGTGTTTACAGAAATGAGCAGATTTTGGAACAAATCTGATGTCCTTTGAAGCAGTAAGACCTCATTTTCCTCTGATTAACGGAGGGTTCCCCTTGTCCTGTGTTTTTTTTTTCTGTTGCAGTTCATACAGATGGGAGATACAAGAGTAGTCATTTGGGCAAGTGGTAGAAGGGCCAGAGGACTGGGATAGCTGCGCCAGAATAGGCTCTGGGGAAGTACTTAAATGTATGAAATTCTCAAGGTTCCAGATTAAGGGGCTGACTCAGCAGAAAACAAATACAAAAGCAAATTCAAAAAGATGAGCCAGAAAACGCACAGATGCTGCACAGAACAATTCACCTAAATCAGTCCAGCCCAGAAATCTGGGGAAACTTTTTTCCCTCCCAAATAAAAGTGTGTGGGAATTTGCATTGCAGTCAGGTATACTTAAAGTGCGCATAAGCCATCTAATAAAAATTCCACTGGAGCGTACGTCATACAGCTGTGTTTTATTATATTTGTGCTCTCTTCCTACTGACAGTGCCTTTATAACTGGATTACTCACATATCATCATTAACTCTGACACTCCTGGGTTTTTACTGCTTCCCTGGTTCCTATCATCTTCTGCAAGTTTTATCCCTTCCTTGCAGATGTGCCAAGATGTGTTTCTTTAATATCTTCTCAGCAAATGAACGTAGGAGCGTGTAAAAACCCGTGGTTTGGGTACCATGGGCAGCAAGAAGGGCTCTCTGGAAATCCCTGTCAAGCCTCTGCTCTGCTCCGGGTTGTTTTCCCTTTGCTCCAGCTGTTGGGTATGAGTAAGGGGTGCTCTCCTGGCAAAATGGCAATGACTGAGGTGCAGCGCTGTTGTTTAGTCCTAGTTTTGATATTTTGTAGCCATTTCTTTCAGTTGTGCTCCATATTGTAATTTACTATGTATATATCATGTTCAGAACGAGCAGCTTTAAGTCTCTGTGTGTGTGTGGTTTTTGGTTTGGGTGGGGGTTTTTTTGTTGGGTATTTTTCCTGGTGGCTGAATAACACCAGCTTAGATATGAAGATATTTTACTTCAGGCCTCAGAAAATTTTATTTTTATTTCTGATCTCCAGTAACTAGTTTGAGCTTGGGTCAGTTCTGCTCACTTTGCTATTGATTTTTTCCCTCTCAGTCTTTGTTGTTCCTGTTTGAATGAAAGTTCCTTGGAGTAGGGGCTGTACCCACTAAGTGTTTGTAGGGAACTGAGCACAAAGGGGACCGGGGCCTCTATTAGACTTTTTAACTATTTCCACTTTGTGAAATTAAGTGGAACTCAAGGGGTACTTGAGCATAGCAAGTCCTGTGAGTCAGGTTTCTGTGGACATTGCCAGCTTTAGCTGAGCTCAGGGTATCAGTTGATCTCAAAGTTATTTTTATTGTGCTTGGGAAGAAGGGATCCCTGGATGTTTGGTTGTGGACTGGGCTGCAGCTCTCTCAGCCGGGTTTGTTCCTGGTAGGAACCTGCCTGAGGTGCTCAACACGCTCAGCGCTTCCCGCTGCAGAGCCCAGAGTCTGCAGGAGCCCAGAGGCAAGCGCAGCCGGTGCTCCCTTCCCTGTGAGCAGGGAGGGTGGCAGTGGGGTCGGGATGTGAAAACAGGTTAAAACCAACCCATTGACCTGTAGGACTTCCTGCAATACAGAACATAGGTTTTAATTGTAGCAACAATCCGACAGCCAGTATATGGAAAAACATTCCCTCCAGTGCTGTCCCCTTCACACGGCTTACACTGAGAACGTGGAAAGAGAAAATATTGTATTGACAGTGAATTGGTGCAGTGACAACATGAATGCACTTTTGGTTTTGCAGGTACTCAGAAGTGTTCAGCTGGGTAGGTTCATGTCTGATTCCTAGTATTTTGGTTCTTATAGTAAGTAAATTAAAGTTATTCTGGCAGAATAACTAGAGTTTTCAAAACCCAGTTACCCCCTTACTCACAACCAGAAGACAGCCTGCCCAGTCTGTCTTCCCAGTCTGTGTCGTTGCACTCAGAGGTCATTGCTGACGGTGTTTTCAGCCTCTGCTCTTAAACCAGATTTGGATTGATAGGTCTTTATATTTAGTGTCTGGAACAGGAACAGCATGAAAAGTCAGTCACTCTGAGAAGAGGTTGAATCGTTGAATTTGAAGCAATGTCAAAGAATTTGTTTCATTTTCCCATTTTCACTTTGTGTAATTTGCCCTGTATTTTTAAGAACAGTCGTCTTGCTGTGGTTCATCTGTGCAAACGGGCGTTTCGGGTGACACAGGGATGAAGTTAAGCAGTAGTGATGGCCCCTGCCTGAACTGCAGCTGCATCGGTGCAGGCACGTTGCCAAAGAAGGGCTGTAAAAATCCAGAAAAGGTGGGGAAAACAGAGTAAAAGAAAAGTGACCTGAGTGTTTTGGACGTCTTTATTTCTTGTTGCCCAGTTAGAAACTCTCTGACAGGCACCTGACTTTGCGTCTTCGGAAAATATGGCTCTTCTTAGTGCATCCCCAGCTGTCTGTTAGACTCACAAACCTCTTCTGAACACCTCATTTACAATGTCAAATTAAACAGGCGTCCTTGATGCACAGCTGTAGCTGGCAAATTAGAAGCTCTGCGGTTTTTTTGTGTGATTTTCGGTTTGCCTTGTAAGCCAGTTAGCAAAAAAAAAAAAATAAAAAAATTAATAGTAATTTTGTGGGTCTTTTCAAGTTTTGCCAAAATTGAACCCGTAGCTCCATGGGGATCTGTGACAGTCATCTCGAGGACACAACTCCATCTAAAAGACTTGAGTTCAGGACAGGCAAATGAAATATAGTCTTTTGCTTTGTGTGTTTGTAATTTAGGTCAGTGAAAGGAAAGCTCCTAGAATACCGAGTAGCCAGATAAATTTGGGATAGCTGAAAAGGGATAGTCCAAGAATAAGGAAGGTGTCCAATAGGGCTGGATAGCTGGTTTCAGGCATCAGAGATTTCCATACGTCAGGCCAAGCCTTACTTCCAAGTTAGCCTCAGCTAACTTTAGGGAAAAACTAAAACAAACAAGGTTTACTCCTAAATTCTTTTGAAAACTGCAGAAGCGCTCCGTCCTTCCTACCTGAGTTGGCAACTGGCACTGCCCCGGGGCTGGTAGAGGGGCAGGTCTGGCTCTAAGGGCACAAATGCCATCCGTTCTCTGGGGGAATCGTCATTCCCCTTCCAGGAAGGGCTTCTTTGGGACAAACCGTCCGTTGGCTGTTTCAGCACCGGGTGTCGAGTGAGCCTGAAGCCATTTGTGTGGGGTGGAAAAATTTGTATCTTGTCTCTGTCTCCTTGCATAATACTTTCGAAGTGTTCTTTTATCAGCGCAGGGGTTGTAAGATCTATATCTACAGGAATTGTGTTAATTTGGGTTAATTTACTGATTTGCAGTAGAATGGTAAATGAAGTTGAAGTTTTTCCCCATTCCTTCTTAATTGAAGGAATTATACTATTTCAAGTAAAGAAAATGAGCTGGTTAATTCTTTAGAGAGCTGGGAGTGTGACTCCTGCCCCTTGTGATAGGAGAACATCTTCCTTTCTTTAAAGCCATCTTGCTCCAAAATGGGGTATTTCCAAAGGTACTAAAAAATTCAAAGAAAATGCCACGTGATGTGCTGACAGAAACACAGCTGCTCTCCTGGAAGTACCCAGCAATCTGGTCTCTTCAGACCTACTTTTTGTGGACAAATCTGTGGAACAAAGTTACTCGAATGTGTCGCTTCGGTGTATCAGAAAACTTGAAAGATTTGTCAGCTGTATAGTTTAACTGCAGAGAGGAAAGTTATTTGAAATTTTGGGTTTAATTTTAGAAACCAGCTCATAGTAACAGAGGTACAGGTGAAAGGACGTGTGTGGATTGTTATGTGGGGGCACAAGGTCTTTTTAGAAGTGAGAGATACAGACTGTGTTTAGAGTTAAAACCTTACTGGTTCCACTCGGTACCAAAAATGGGTGAAACCAGCATTTTGCTGGCTTTTGAGGGCAGGAGTCACTAACGCAGTTCCGTCCTGTTCTTTAAGGCTTTAGATGTGCCAAAAATACAAGCACAAGTTGAAAAAGCTGCACAGCTTCTATGGGCTCCCTTGGCCGTACGGTTAGAGCCTGCAACTCCCGGTATCAGGGGGGTGTGGGGAGAAGCAGCTGCTGGGGGGGATGCTCGGGGGGGCTGGGAGAATTCAGTGAGAGCTTTATCTTGGCGTGACGGGCTGGGACCATCTGACAGATCCCACCTTCCAGTGGCTCAGCCCAGCTCTGCCACTGCCCATGTCCAGAGGTAGAAAGAGGAAGCAAACCAAGCCCTTAGAAAGCAAGGTGGCAATGAGTCAGAAATATGAAGTACAGATTATATATTTTTTTAAGCTGTTTGATCATTCTCTGGCTTTTCCAGTGTTTTACAAGGGCATGTTAAGAAATGTACCAGAGCTGTGGAAATTCTGCAGTCGTTTCTCAGAAAACCATGAGAGAATGACTTTAACATATGTTTCCATCTTCTGCTTTTTGCTTTTTTTCCTCTCTTGCATTTCTTTTTCTTTGACCTGGTAAAAAACTTTTATATGCTTGCAATTCTCACTATTCAAAAGAAATTTCACTTTGTTGTTAGAATTTCCCCACGAAGGGGTGTGCATCGTTTGCAATTAAATTCCTATTTCCCTACACTATTGTCAGGTGCAGCTCTGAGAAGGTGTTGGTGGTGCCTCCGAGAGACGTCCGGGAAGGGGCCGTCTCCAGGCTCAGGTGGTTCATGTGTCTCAGCACATTGAAGATGGAAAGGTAGGTGTTTTGGTTTTGGTGTGTCAGAAAGGATAAAACATGGCAGGAAATGACACCATGGATCAGTTGTGTGTGTGCAGGCGTGTCGCAGAGTTCTGTAAGTTGGTGTTGTTAAAGCACTGCTCGAAGCCCTGAGCTCCAGCAGAGGAACCTGGTGTGTCCTCAGACACCGGCACCTCCCTGACGGCCTGAGCCGCGAGCACAGAAAACTCAAAAACCATCCCATATCTATTTATTTTTTTCTGGACAAACAATTTTATTTTAGGTAGTGTCGCAGAGTTCTGTAAGTTGGTGTTGTTAAAGCACTGCTCGAAGCCCTGAGCTCCAGCAGAGGAACCTGGTGTGTCCTCAGACACCTCCCTGACGGCCTGAGCCCCAAGCACAGAAAACTCAAAAACCATCCCATATCTATTTATTTTTTTCTGGACAAACAATTTTATTTTAGGTAATGCGTCTATACACTGTACATTCAGTCACTGTGGTATATAAGCATAGCTATTTTCATACATAATCTCATAAAGTCCTTTATTTTACAATATTATCTGCTTCAAGGGGAGGGGATGTGGAAAAGGGGGTGGAAAAGGACTATCAAGGTACACAGCGAAATAGATAAATATGCCAAGCTTTTTTCTTATTTTTTTTTAAATCAGGCATTTATAAACAAGAAAGCATACATTACTTACATAAAAATAGTTCTAGAATAGTAGAGTAAGTCATAATATTGTCATTAGCAGCAGCATAGGAGAGACCAGGATAACAAAAATGTGCTGAAATGCTATTGGCTATTATAAATGTAAAGATTTATTTTTCTTCAATTGAAAAAATGTCATTTCTGTGAATTCTTTTGATTTTTAAAAAAAAAAAAAGGAAACAAAAAAAGAAATAACAACCAAACCAACAAAAAACTTCTCTCTAAACACATGGACTGATGAGAGGGCAGAATGGAAAGAAAATCAACCTTTTGGTAATAAAATACTTTACAGTGAAAATAAGGACAATTCAAATGCAAATGATGGCGAAAGGTTAACCCACATTTAAAACTTGCAAAAAGATTTTCTTTTGTTTTTCCTAATGACAGCAAAGGTTCTTCTTAGTTAAAAACACAACTCATAAAACAAGACAACTACCAGGTAAGAAAGTTTTGAAAAAGTAAACACCATATACACTTATAATACAACAGTGTAAAATGAAAAAAAGTATTTACATGTTGAATTTACTTTTAACTTTTTTTTTTTTTTTTACATTGGCTAGTTCTGTTTGAAAAGCAGAATATTATGTATACTAGTTAGCTGCTCCATAGATATGAATGTTATTGCTGTTGGTTTTTTTTTCCCTTCGTTAAGTCTTCTTTCAGTAATAGAAACAATGAGTAATTAAACTGAATATACAAGTATTAAGTAATATATTTTTAAGTACAGGGAGAGTCAACAGCCTGTATGAAACACCTCTTCTCCCTTTTAACTTCTTAAAGGAAACTAAAGAGCAGATGAAATGAGAAGATGTGACTGTAATTCCTACACTGGCGGGGGGGAGTGCGCCTGGAATGCAGCAGGGACCCAACAGTAAGTCCAAACAAAAGCAATTCCACCTGAAGGGGCCAAGGATTGTTTCAGCGAGTGTTGCAGAGACAGAAATTACACACAGAACTCCCGCACCTCCAGCACCTTCCAAAGAATTGTTTCTCTAAAGATTCCCACCGTTTTGACAGCCCTTTTCTAAAATTAGTGTCTCTGTGGCTGTCTCCTGAGAATTTTAAAATAAATTACATGCGCAGGAATTTGGAATTAGAAATAAATTATATATTCTGCAGAAATATTTTATTGTTAAAATACATTTAGGAGGGAGAATATGATTTAAGCTAGAGCCTATCCTTTAAACCTCTCCTGTTGATAAACTGCTGGTGTAGAACGTTTGTTCCTGGTCTTCTTGCCCCTTATTTAATTGTACTGATTTAAAACCTTAATTTATAGAAATGTATTTATAGGATGTTCCACTCTCGTGGATGAAACACTATTGAGTCTTAACCTCAAACACTGTGAAATTCATCGCTATACATTACATTTTATACTGTAATCACCGCAGTGCACGGCAAAGGAAGGAACCAGAGCTTTGTGACCATCCTTAGAACTCTCCAAAGTGAAGTTGCTTCTTGCCAATCTTATCCCCTTTCACGTGAAGCAGTGGTGATGCTGGGTGGTTGGGAAAACTATCTACTATTGATAAGACTATTTACTCTTCTTTTTTTTTTCCTTTGAAAAAAAAATGCGGATTTCATTAATTTTGGATCATAAAAGCATCATATGCACAGAAGAAATTGTGCCAGTGACTGCATGTGCTTCCCCAGACACACAGGAAAGAAAAACTATGTCATGTGCTGCAGGTAAGTGGGACACTTTTCCTGTGAAAAAACAGAGCCGTTTTTTGTTGAGTCATAAGGGACAGGCACAATCAAAGACCAGAGGAAAAAAAAACCCAAACACACACGATTTCCAAAGTAAGGCTTCAAAGAAGCTGACGGGGGCAGGGGGTGGGAAGACATTTGTTCTATGTGTAATTTCGTGACACGGCAGCACAGCACACGAGACACTTGAAATGCACAATGATCAACTAAAGCTAAAATTGTTTAGTTTCCCTTGAAGAAATAAGTGAATAATACAGATCTGGAAATCATAAGGCTGAGAACATTTTTATGCATACTGCATAACAAAATAAACCCTTTACATAAGACAGTAATAATGCCCATTAATGAATATACGTATGGCAGAGATTTTAATTCCATGCATATGATTTAATAATCGCAGAAAAAAACATACAAAGAAGGAAAAAAAAACACATTAAAAAAACCTGCTTAAGCATAATCAAAATTCCTTTTGCATTGCACTTTAGAAGAGGAGATCTGCCTCTAGCCTCAGTCTCCAGCATCCCAAACACAAGGGCAAACCCCTGCAGAAACGGACAGGTTCCTGTGATTTACTTGGTACAACTGGTTCTTGCTCCCAACAGTTTTACATTGTCCCAGTAATTCTACTCCTTTCATATTTCTTCTTTTTGTACCTAAAACATATATATGAACTTCTTTGTTAATGCTCACAGTTATTATAATGGTTATTATAATGGTTTCAGGCAAACAGCTCTTGTTTAAAAAAAAAAAAAAAATCTCTCTAATGTACTGTAAGTAAATACTATAATTTTAGGATTGGAAGCCGCTTTCTGTCTACTGGGAAATAATTTTTAAGCTTACATAGTTTGCATTAATGTCCAAAAGCAAATAAAGATTACTGGAAATAGGTTTCTTCGTTTAGAATAACTTCTGTGTATGATGATGCATAGGGTTTTCTTTTTTTTTTTTTTTTTTTTTTTTCTTTTTATTCTTTAAGGTAAAAAAAGTGTCAGCATTGCCTATATAAGATGCTGAGAGGAAAAATGAGCTGGAAGGCACATCTGCAGCCCCAGATCAAATTTTCACTTCACGCTGATAAGCTCGAGTGTGTAAGAGGTGAGTGTTTACGGGTGAAAATCACTTTTCTCTTGTTCAGTAAAGCACCAACTTTATTTGTTGAGCACTTGCGGGGGCGTCTCTGCTGCTTCCCAGCTCCCGGGGACGTAACGCCGCGCGGGGCCGAGCGGGACGGGACCGCGGTGGGTCTTTAAGGTAAAAAAAGTGTCAGCATTGCCTATATAAGATGCTGAGAGGAAAAATGAGCTGGAAGGCACATCTGCAGCCCCAGATCAAATTTTCACTTCACGCTGATAAGCTCGAGTGTGTAAGAGGTGAGTGTTTACGGGTGAAAATCACTTTTCTCTTGTTCAGTAAAGCACCAACTTTATTTGTTGAGCACTTGCGGGGGCGTCTCTGCTGCTTCCCAGCTCCCGGGGACGTAACGCCGCGCGGGGCCGAGCGGGATTTTTTTTTTTTTTGTCACGGTCTGTACCTGCTGAGTCCTCCCTCTGCATCAGAGCAAACGCTGATGCAAGGTGTCACGTGGTGGAAACCAGGCTGATGATTTTCACATCTGTTAGGCAGGGGAGAGTCTAGAATGCTCAACTTGTAAACTTTAGAACTATGGAATAAAATGCAGAGTAAGATTCTGACAAAGTGCAGTTTTGTTTTTTTTTTTTAAAAATAAAAAATAAAAATCAACAACAACAACAATAACACCAACAATAAGACAAAGTGATGGCATGCTGCATTTTTATTCCGGGGCTGCGGCTTGGATCCCAAAATTAAAGTAATTTCTTTTTTTAAAAAACAAAAAAAGTTTTTTTTAAAAAAGATGTAGGCTTATTCACAGCAGCAAAAATGTCGTTTTTCTTTTCTGTAGTATCTGATAACGCGTTGTTGCACTCTCCTTGGGCACAGAAAATCCTGACTGACAGTTCATAATAAAAGCAGGTAAATACTGAATTTATGGTAAGATGGTGCAACAAAGGTGAGTTTTCCAGTAAACTGAAAGCTGAAATAAAAGATTTCAGAATGACTTCGAAACACATGTGTCTTCTGCTCGATTTCTCAACCGGCTTAACAGATCGTCCAGTTCCTTCCTTTATTTCCTTCTTTCTTTTCCCAAAGCTGAAGTGCTCTTGGATGAAGTGAGTCTTTTGAACACATTGATGAAGGTGTCTTCAGAAGAGATGGCGTGGTCTGGTCTGGTCTGGTCTGCACACACCGAGGTCTGCAACGTCTTCTCCTCCCACCCCCGCTCCCACCCACCCCTTCACAGTCCTGCAGCTTCCTTTCTTCTTGTGTTCGGGACAGGAAATGAAGAGAATTCTTTCTAAGGAAAAAATCAACTTTGAAAAGCACTCTGAAATTCTCGTACAGCCACGTGACGGGGTCAGAACTGCGATGGCTTCCTAGATGGCTGGAAAACTGCTAATGAAATGGCATCATCACCAGAGGGCTTCTGCGTTAAGAATCCCAAAGCCTATAACAAGTCATTAAAAATTGTGCATCGAAGGTTTTTTTTTTTTTTTTTTTTTTGTTTTGCTTTTAAAGGTTCATTATAAAAATCTTGTTAATTTTTTAATACCAAGTCTGTGTAATGAATTATTTTAAATAGCTTATAAGAAAAGTTTGTTTGTTTTTAAATTCCAAAATGTTCCAACAGGCAGAAGGGCAACACAAAACCACTGCCATGCTCGCCTTTTGCTCTGATTTTAGTTGGACGATGCTGCTTGCTTGGAGTTTGCCAGTAGAAAATTTGCTGTGGACTTAAAAGTATTTTGTTTATAAACACTTTGTGTTTTATAGGCACAGTAAGATGTTGTGCTATATGGATTGGAAAAAAAAGAGGCGTAATTCAGTGCTTCTGTTATAAAGAGTTAACGTTTGCCTTCCAACTAATAAGAATCCATATTGATAGGTCTGTGTGCCAGGACACCACTACTCACACATGCACTTACACACGCTCCCACCCGTCCTCCCTCACTGCGCCTCAGTCTGGCTGAGGGGTCAGTTCTCCAGGGCGCTCGCCGTGTTCTCGCTGCTGGCTTGGCTGCTGGATTTAGGCCACAGTTGTTCCTGAAGTTCCTTGACTACTTTTTCCAAGTGTTCCCGAGCCTCCCTTTCATGCATCAGGTCAGCCCGGAGCTGCTCCCTGTCAGCCTCTGCGTGCTGAAGCTTGACCTGCAGGTCCTCAATCTAGAGAAAAGCAGAGAAAGAAACATAATAAAATACTTTAATATTTCCGTTCCGTTGCGATTTTGTAGACTTTACTACAGCCCAGCACCACTCACAAAGTGAGAGGAGCAATAAAACACCGCGTACGTCAGATATGAGACTATCAGAGTTGAGGTGAGGAAGGAATTGCCTTTTCCCTACTTTTCTGCGCGTGCTGCTGCACAATTATGCAAGTGCATTGCATGAACTGTGTCGCTTTGACATTCTTAAATATTTCTGGTGGCTTAAGTTCCAGAAAGGAGGGTGAAAAACAGCAGTTGAGAGTGCCCTTAGTGTAACTGAACTCTGGTGACTGTACTCCTTAAAGCATTACTATTATTTCTGCACACAGACAGCAGTCGGGCACCCTGTCCTACAGGCTGAGTGTGCACAGGGAATTTACTGTCAGCTCTTTTACAGTGGTTATTGATAGGAGTCACCTGTCAATAAACAGCCTCAGTTGCCTGTGGAACAGCCCATGTCTCAGCCATAGATGGTGTCCAACACGAGCCCTTGCGATACCTCTCACAACAACCCTTATACCCTGCACATTAAATTACAGCTGTGGAAATTAGCACCATTTCACCTGTGCCCTAACTTTGCACAGAAATGGACTTAAAGAACTACATGTTCCAAATAGCTGTAGAAGAGATCACCTGCTGGGATCTAACAGTCTTTTTCCAACTCAGAGCAAGAGCCACAGATGGCCTCAGCCTCCCCAAAGGCCCCAGCCGTCAATCTGCCTGCTCTTTACTTACTGACACCAAAGGCAGAGAAAAGCCCCAGGACTCAAGGGTGTAAACATTAGAAAAACTGCACCACTTTGAAATACACAATTCTAGGCCACAAACAGACAAGATGAGCAGTTCTCAAAGACTGTTACTTAACAAAGGAATGGAAACTCCTACATTTTGGGCTAAAATGATGGCTACCCCACCACCCCAGCCATAGCTGGATCTCAGGACCAAGGTAAGAAGAAAGGTCTAAACCACACTGATATTCAATTAAGCAATTAATACTTTAAGCTCCCACAAAGACATTTACACCCCTGAAGTTGTCTTATTTCCTCTCACGCTTGCCTGGTGCTCGCCCAGGCTCAGCCTGTCTAGAGAACTGTGGTTTCCTCAAAAATAAGAAGTGACAAACTTTGTGTTAAAGATGAAAGGATGTATAAAGCTTGATTTTAACATTTCTTACAGGGCTGAAGAACTGAAGTCGCACTGACATCTTGTAAAAGTCAGGCTTTGAAGTTACTTAATAGACAAATACCTGCGAAGCGGTGGTTGGTGGGGGTGGGTCCGTGGGGGGGTTACTTGTAGCTGCACTTGCTCTTGACTCTCCCCCCCTCGGTGGCAGCCTGTGCCGGCACCGCCCAGCGCTCGGCTCCTGTTTAGTCTGGACACCTCTTATCAGCGAGACATCCTGTGATGCTCGGAGGAAGCCCACATCATTTCCTGCCGCGGGGCTCCTGGGCAGACAGGGCTCACACTGGTACAACTGGAACCACTCCCCTTCCCGTCATTGAGCCCGGCCTTAGAAGAATTTCTGATTGCCACGGCTTTTGCTTTTTCTTCCCACCCCCCCTTAAAGTAACCACACCAAACACTTGCTTTAGGCGTAACCACACGTTCATGTGTGTTTAACGACACGCGTGGCAGAGAAGCTGCTGTGGTACCCAGGCTCTGTCCCAGTGCCATGACTGCAGGTGTGGTACAACCTGTGAGTTTTACTCCTGCAGCTGGGACACCTGTGTGACATCTGCACCTGCCACTGCTACAGGAGTTCAAATCTGGGCAATTGTGCCTCGTTTTTCAGAACCCTTCTGTTGCTAACACCGACCCTTGCCTTTTATTTACCTAGTTCTGGGGCAGGCCTGGTGCTGGGGACAGGGCGGTGGGGCCAGGGGTGGACAGGGGGGTGTTCAGTGGAAGTGGGGCAGAGCAACCCCCCGGGAAGAAAAGGAGCCCATGGGAGAGAGGCTGGCTCTGTGCAGCCCCCCTATAGCAGGGCGGGGGGGGGTTAAGCTGGGTGTGGGACCATGCCCTTTTATAGGGACTGTGCACTGGGGAACTGGGGTTGTTTTATTGGAGGAAGGGGACGGCAGGGCGGGCAGTGGGCTCCTCTCCAGGGCTGCTTCTCAGGAACTCCAGGAGCTCTGCTGGGTCATTTCAGGGGGCCTGGAAGCCTCCAACTCCCCATGCCCCCCAACACCAACACAACATGGGACTTGGGATGTGCAGCCTCAGCTCCTGGCTCCCTGGGCTTTGGAGGGTTTAAATAAACCTCAGAATCTTTTATTACAGGAGAGTCTGACGCGGAGAGGGCAGGGAGGGATTTTTTACTTCTAAAGCTTAAAGGATAGACGTTGCTTGTAACAACATGTTCCTGCATTCCTAGAACTTTCATTGAGATCAGAGTGGAGTCTTTTCTTAGACCTGACAGTTTGCTCTTCTTGTGTAAAGCTCTTCAGCTGTAAACACCACTCCTTCCCAGCACTGCACTTTGCTTATTGAGGGGCCTCGGGTCCTGCTCTTGTTTTCAATAGTTCCTGTAGGTCTGGGCTGATTTCAAGGAAAAATACTATTAGAGAAAATGGCTCTGCCTAATATTTCCAGTATTGAAATGGATCCCTGTGCACTGACGGTGCCAGCAGAGCATTAGTGGAGCTGAAATGACGGTTTGCATTTGTCTTAGTTCTCTGTAAGTGGTGATTTGGAGCTGACAAACACGCACACTCCAGTGTGGGGCTGTGCGAGCGACAGCGGTGGCCGGAGTGCGGCGTCACGGGGGCTGTAAACTGAGGGGATGGGGCAGAGGTGTTCTACAGGACAGAGCTGGGCTTGTGTCACATCAGACAAAACAAAGCCACCGGGTGAGGGGGCAGACAACACCTGAGCTAACCCTGAAAACTGCAGAAATGGCTCACTTGTCATCACACCTTTCGCGCTCAGGTCTCACCTGGGCTGAGTACTTGGCCCGGAGCCTTCCCGCTTCGCAGCCCTTGTCGCACACCCGGATCTGCCTGGCTTGTTCCAGCTCCCTCTTCAGTCGTATCCGAGACTCGTTGGCTTCCTTCATTTTCTTCTCGTTCTCAGCTCTCAGACGTTCAATCTCTTTCCTTAAGTTGCGCTTCGCCTCCGTCGCTTCTCTCAGTTTCTCTTTCTTGGCCACTCTGAGGAACTCCAGCTCCTAGAAGACAAGAGCAGTTGAGTTGTGAGAAACGAGGAGCAGGGACGGAATTAGCGCAAAGAAACAGAACTGCAAAGAGGGATCCAAACCACATTCCCACCTTCTGTTGGGTATGACCGAGAAGGCTCACGTCTGAACCTCATTCTGAACTTCGTACAAGCTCTTCTCCTTTAAATCAACACGAGATCCTACACTCAAGATACCCTGAATTCTTGGATAATAAAAAGCTACACGCCACAGCCACAGTGTGCTTTGTCAAGCAAAATAGCTGTGACCATCTGTGACTGAATAAAGATGAAGTGCAGTTGGAGAGAGCTACCAGCAATGTGCTCTGCACCAGCCCAAGTTCCAAACAAACCAACTGTAACGCTGCGCTTTAACTGAAGACACTGAAGACACACAACGTTACGATAAATGCCATTTGTGAATGCCCTTTGTGTACAGCGAAGCCGAACGAGGACGGTTACCACTCGCTGAGGAACTCACTCAAACAGCTCCATTTTATCAAGCCCCCAAAAAAATCCACTTACGGCAAGTGTGAGGAAAAAAACCAACAAATTGTGTATCTCCTTTCTAACTGGAGGCAATTCTGTTTTGCTACAGGTAACTGGTGTGTGTGGCCCTAAGCCTCCTGGCAACCAGCCACTGCCCGGCTCTGTCACAGCAGCTGGAAAACTCCCGGCTAAAACCTGAAGCTAAATCGAAACCACGCTTTGCTCTGGGAATCGCCGCTCCCACTGCCCAGGCCCGTAACAGGAGCTGCTCCCTTGGGATCCCAATCCAAGGGAAAGCCATTAATTGAAGTGATAATGATCAGGAACCTAGAACTACAAAGGAAGAAACTCAAGTTTTGAAAAAGCTGATGTGAAAGGACACATTCATCCTAAGTGCAAAACGGTGGCTCACTGAAGGTCTGTCTCCTAAATGGTTAAATTAGAAACTAAAGTTCAATTTTTTTTCCCCCAGAAGCAGCATTTCCTCTGTCAGAGTCAAACCCCCCCAGCCCCGTGTCTCTGTTAAATAACGCTGCAGCCGGGTCATGGGAAATGCACTCTTTTGACAATCTCACTTCCCAGCCCAGGCCATTGTTGGCGCCGCCCCCGGGAGCGGGGACACGGCCCCCTCGGAGCCTCACCCGGGACCCGCGGCCGCCCTGATGGCCAGTGGTGGCCAGATACTCCTGCTCCTCTGACACTCACTCTGCTTCACCAGCCACTGCCTGTAATTCCTGCTCTAAGTACACACGGCGTATTTAGTTTAGATATTTAAAAATTAGCTTTAAATATATATTACTTATAAATATTTACTTTTAAATACATAAAATAAAACATGAAAGAAATGAAGCGTGGCTAATGGAATGCTTAACGAAGCTCCGCAGCTCAGCTCTTCAGCAGTGGCAGCAACTGCCTCTGTCCCAGGAACACCCTCCCTTGGCCAGGCAACAGCAGGACTGTCACAGATCTTTTAGATAAAGCCTCCGTAAGGACAGAAATGTTTCTAGTTCAGTGAAATTAACACCAAATAAACTGTGCTGGACTAAGGGATTTTTTCAGTACTGAAAAGATGTTGATTTTGGTAACCATGGATTTATACCCCAAGGCAAAACCAGGTGGCAAGCTTAAAAATGTAGGAATGGTTCCTGTAGACCCTGGTTTCCCGACTGAATTTACAAACAGTGCCCCAGGAAAGGCTGTTGCTATTTGGGAAAAAGGAGGCAATTCTTTTTTACGTGAGCGTGAGCTGACCAAAGGGCTTCTACCTGGACGAGCGTTTGGAGACAGTGGGAAGAGAAAGCTGCTTTTCAGCGGTACCTGGTGTAGGCTGCGTTTGGCCTGCAAGGCAGCGTTGAGCTTCTCTTCCTGCTTCACTCTCATTTTAACAACTTCATGGAGGAATTTTTCTTTGGCTTCTTTTGTATCGAGGCCACTGTCCAGGGCCTGCCTCAGGTGCTCCAGCTCCGCTTCCAGCCCGCTGCTGTGGGAGTCAGGGTGGGCTGCAGCCTCGTAGGAGCTGCTGACCGGGACCGGGGCCTGCATCCCCGGGGAGCTCATGTCCTTGGCAGAGCTGGACGAAGTGAAGGACGGGGAGGAGAGCGAGGACAAGGAGGAGGTGACTGAAAAACAGAAACACCCAAAATTAATCAACGAATGTCTAAACCGAATATAACTCAAAATGTGGTGCGGCCCTTTTGTACAGAGGAGATACTCAATATCGGATGAAAAAACTGGAAGAAAATACTCATTTTACACTTTTGATACTGGAAATGGGATGAAAATGCACACCTGAGTGACTCGAGGGACCAACTTAGGATTTGCCTGAATTGTGGCTTTGGAATTTATGTCACAAACAGTGTTTTCTCCACGGGTGCCAAGAAACAGATTTCTTCAGGGAAACCTACATGATCCTGCTGGATTCAGGGGCTAAAATTTCTTCCTTTTGCATAAACTGCATGTCCTGGGTAAAGACTGAACATACTGAGGGCAGCAGCAGAATTATCTAAGTGACATTAATAAGGTGACACCAGTGTCTTCACCTTTTGCTGAGAGGCCCAGTTTGGGAATACCGTTTAAGAACAGAGTGACTCTTGATCTTTATGTATTCAGCTCCAGGGATGCGGCACCGAAACTGTGACCACATTCCTTGACACAAAATTCCACACTTGACGTGTGTGCACTCTGGAATTTTTACGGGCTGTTTGTGCATGTCCCACAGAGGCTCTTCTAGAAGGCTCTTGATGAGAGCAAACCGTCACTTGCATGTGAACAGCACACACATTTTGTGGCCACTGCACTGGACACCTGAGGCTCTTCCTTTTGTCAATGCATGTTCCTCTCCCAGGAAAACACCCCCCGACTTGTGTCCCATTCTTGGTTTTCATTATTACTTAAGGCTGTATTTTTACACCCCGCTGAGGTATTAGCCTTCCAGAGTTATATTTAATCACACCAGAGTTGAACAGCCAACTCATGCGAATTACTGAGGAAAACCCAGCACAAATAAACCCAAATAAAGTCAGATGTAACTGTCACTTACATTATCCCAGCTCAAATAAACCAAAATAAAGTCAGATGTAACTGTCACTTACATTCTTCCCTGGTTTCTACTTCAATTTCTGCTTCTGATTCCTTATCCTCTTCGGTGGCAGTGACAGTGGCCGTGACGGTGGCTGCTGCTTCTGGGATCACTGGGTTCTCTGCAGCGAGTTTCCTTTTCCGCGGCTGGACCGTGCTGCTCAGGGCCTCGCTGCTCCGCGACACCACGGTGGCACAGGGGGGGTTGCTGACAATTTTCTGTTGGGCTGGAGGTGCCAGTGCCACGTTGGGGGCCACGGCATTCTCAAAGCTTTTGTAGGAGTAAAAACTGTTTCAGAGGGGGAGGCAAAAAGGCAGGAGAAAATAGTCATATTTTTGGCTGTTAAATGCTCCCCAGTGCAGGTGTTACACTGGAACTGCACAGCACCTACTGGAATGACAGTGAAGTTCCACTGATTTACACCAGGTAAGAATCTGCCTGCACCTGATTAGTGTTTTGCAGTCATGTGAACACAGAGATGATTGACAGAGCTGATCTTCATCCAGTTCAGAATGGGATCATATTGGAAGTGCCACATATTCTAAGAGCACCAAAGAGATGAGATCTCCCAAAGTCTATAATTTATAATGGTGTTTTGTCACGATCTTCAGGCATTATTGTTTTACCCAACTGCACACTTTGACTTCTGTCTGTCCACAAGTGTTTTCTAAACTCAGAAATGGCACTTCCTTAAGAAAGGCCACAGGAGTGCAAAAACCACTTCATTTTTTGACACTGCACAGACCCAAGTGTGTGTATGTAAAACCACAATTCAAAACCCCAAAAAAACTATGTGAAAGGGCAGTAATAACGTAATGTCAAATACACAGAATTTTTCAATAAACATCACAAAGACTGTCTATTTCTCCTGAACCTGTCGAAGGTGGGTTCTTTCCCAAGACTTAAATTGGCCATATTTCTCACAGGACACCAAGGCCATTCTGTGACACCATTTCAGCCCTTCTCTCCCCACCTGACAGAAACGTCTGTATAAAAGCAAGGATATGCTGCTAGGCATTCTTTTACTTTTTTATTTTATTTTATTTGAAATCAATCCCCATAGTTTCTAAGAAACTTGTTTGTAAGGACAGCTAAATATGTTCTCCATAAGGCTCCCTAGAAACACCTGGCCACTTTAGTCAAACTTTCCAAAGAAACCATTACCCTTAGGCAGAAATCTGGCACTAAGATTTTTCAGACTGAACAGCTCAAGTCTGGCGAAGGAAGGTGTAATTGCCCTGACACTTTCCCTTCTATCTGTAATACCAGGAGCCCGACCTATTACAGGGTTGACTCATTCTTGTATCAGTTTAATTACCATCATCCCCAAGAGCAGACTCTGGCCCACAGCAGCAGCTTTCTCATGGCTCTTACAAGCTGAGGAGTCTCCCACAGCACCCCAGGAGCATCGAGAGGGCAGGGGGCAGCCTGTGATGTCCCTTCAGCCCTTCCTCCTCCTCTGCTTTTGGGAGCTGAGGCAGCTCCCAGTTGGCAGTTGACTGGAAAGGGCTGGTCCCTGTCCCCCTGCCCTCAGAGAGTAACTCAATCTTCCTTTAAACAGTGAAGACTGAGAACTTCTGATGACTGTACCCCAAAATGATGACAAGTTCATAGAAGCAGCCCACATTTCAGACTTTTATGGCACGTTTCACCTACCTTTTTAATGGATGCACAAAGTATCACTACTTATTTTTGTTTCCCTTCTCCAAATTAAAACATTGCAGCTGCAAATGCTTTTTCAGCTGATACCAGTGGACTGAGTGAGTGAATTACAAAGCCACCAGTTAACAGTGCAAGGGAACAAGGATAAAGCAAGTCACTGTCAAATAAACCTGCCCATCCCTAACCCCATCCTGCCTCCAGTTGGGGTCTCCTCACCTGTCTCGGATCAGAGTGGGAAGGTGGGTGGAGAGCTCCTTCTCGTTGGCCGATACAGCGGGGGACCAGGGCCGGAAAGCTGAGAGACGCTGCCGGGGATGGACACAGCCAATGCTCTGGGAAGGAGAGGAAAGAAAAATAAGTAAATACAAGCAATCTTTTAAACTAGAAATCACAATGGAATGCTAGTGATGCTTTCCAGTACGTTCTATTATCTCCAAAACTACCTCCCCACTGGTTAGGACCTACTCAGTTAGTAGATCCCACTGGAAGAGGTGAATTGAACTAACGTAAGCCCTCACATGTTCTTTCTTTGTTGATAAGTTCTACGTAGTTTGCAGAGAGCACAAAAGGCTCCTGAGTCTTTCAGGATTCTTGTACCTCAAAGGCATGAGGAATTGCTTATTTCATTGTCACGACCAAGGTCAGTGAACACTGAGCTGGGAGGGCTGCACAGCTCAATGTTTACCAGGAAAAGGATAGAAGTGTTATTTTTATTAATATAGAAAACATGGGCAAGTTCTCTGCGCGTTTTCTCTTCTGCTTTCAGTAGAGGGATGCTACATGCTAATCTGATCTCTCTTTTGATTACAAAATATTCAGCAATCACCTTATTAGACGAACTGGATAGGGACCGTAACCAACTGGACTGTTTTTCCTTCTCAGTAGAAGCTGGAGATTGGGAAGCAGAGTCATCTATTTTGGGCTTTTTGGAAGCAGGAGGATCTGAAGAGACCTGAAACAAAGACAGGCAGGAAAAATCAAAGATAGAACTACCCACTTTGCAATCAGCTTAAAAACAGGTTATAAGGCAAAAGCAAATTTTGTATTTAAAAGAAAAAACATTGGAGTTTCTTCTGCATTTTTAAACCTAAGGAAAAACAAAAGAGTGAAAACAAGGGACAGACACATATGACAGAATGTGGCTTCATTTAAAATACTTGGATAAAGTGTAGATGGTGCAGGAGTGACAGGCAGTGATGTGAGCGAGACATTCACACCACGCTGCAGAGAACTATCTGCCTTTTATTATTTTTGTATGCAGAAAGGTAAGGTTTAATGTGGTTGCTGAACTGGAAAGATTATTTTAAACGAGAACAGAACAGACTTTGTTATTCTGTTTGCAGTGGTTGTTATGCCGATGACTTCACTACCCCACAGCTGCAGTGGATTCTGGGGGTGCTGCCAAGAGCTGCTTTGCCTTTTCCACAAGTGGCTCAGCTTGGCCCATAAATCATCCTCAAGCATAAGAAAGCCCTTTGGCAAGCAAAACCCCTTTCCTTCAACACTGTGAAGGAATAAAATTCCTATAGTCCCAAAGTGGCTTGCAAAAAAATTGGTAACTACTGGTTTAACTGGTGCAGTGGGGATACCAGCTTGAAGCCCTGCCAGTACAAACACGTCTATCAGCAGGGAGGGAGAAGGTTCTGGACCTTATGCTGCATCACAACTAGGAATAGTAAGTGAAATGCACCACCTCAGTTTCCATTCCTTTTTCTCTATTTTCTTTCTTTTTGCAATTCCGAACTCTCTACCTCTCCATATTCCCATTCAACTTGGTTCTAAGTAAGGCGGCAGAACCGCGCTGCAGTAACTTGTAATCGCTCATATTTACATTAAATTCTTTCAACCTTACACCTTCCTGTGATTTTTGTGGGCAAACAAGTATTTATACAGGTGTGTCTGTAAAACACAGGCACAGCAATGGTTGGAGAGTCTGAAATGCTTCAAACCTGGGTCTATCTGTCAGAGAAAGAAAGGATCTTATTTGGCAATGTCTTGTGTTCCGAAAATCAGTTCCCTTCAAGGCGTCTTAAATTGGGAACTCCGAGATGGTTTCACCTTACTTGAAGAGGACCCGAGGAACTGAAAGCAGGATTGTTAAAATGCCCTTCTCCAGACTCCCAATGGACTTCCAGGCAAACCCAGCAGCTACGTAACTAGAGCGATGCCACCCCCTTTGCACACCTTAATTAGGAGGAAATTATGACCTCACGTCCATGAGGAGCCGACTGCTCTCATGGAAGCAGTGTGGGACCTGGGCTGAAGGCGATGACTCTCTGGCTAATGCTGGTCCATCTGGCAGCTCCCACCCCTCGCGCGGCGTCTCCAGCCCAGTGCGCACAGTAACGTAATCAAACCCAGTCTGGAGGTTTTAGTAAAACATTCCCTGGCACTCGGAGCTCGGGGCAGCTTTCCATATGTAGCAGATGAAGAAGAATGACATGGGTGTGTATATGTGTAACCCCAAGTACAAAATTAGCCCGTGTCGGTGCCAAATGCCAGCTTCAATGGATTTGCAGAGGATTCTTTGGGCACAGCTTCAGGCTCCCCCAGGGCTGACTCCCGTCGTGGCTGTGGCACGGTCCCTCCCATCAAACTCCACTAAGAAAAGGCATTTCTAAATGCTTTTTTTTTTTTTTGTAGAAAATGCAGGACAATGCATTGGAAAAGATTTGTGTTTGCTTTCAGAGATGCTGTCTGTGCAGAATTAGTGACAGCATTAGAAAGGTATTTGGCAAGTGACTACTGATCCCAGCCCTATCCACTGGGGATGGTGAGCTGTGTGGGGAGGGGAACTCGGGGTGGAGGGTGGGGAGGGAAGGGGGGCTTGGAATGGAAAAGGCAACAGGTGGCAAGACTCAGCATGGAAACCCGTTCCTCCCCCCGACCATCCGCACTGGGCTCTGCAGAACATTCTGTCGGGGCAGGGCTGGAGGCCTGGGCCTGGGACCCCCCCGGCCACCCTGCTCCCCCGGCCCCACGGCACCAGTCACCCCAGGGCAGGCACGAAAACGAGCAGCTCTGGGAGGAGGAGAGCAAGTGTCAGGTTTTAGTAAGGTTCTAGGAGAGAAATTTCAACAGAATGATCTCATTTGCATTTTTAAAGAAATCATGTCTCATCCCCAGCTTTCTCCACCGTCCCCCTCCGCTCCCTGGGAAATCAAGGCTGACGCCAAGGACCAGGAGGGCTCCGAGCACAGACCTGGGAAATGATGCTCAGCCTTTTGTTGCCAGGAGCCAGTATTGATCTGAAAACATGAGCTGCTGCTAGAAGAAAAAAGCAGTAAACAAAGTGCGTGCACGGGGGAAAAATAGGTTTGCCTTCCCCACACATGGAAATGGGGTGACAAAAGGGGCAGAGAGAAGCAGGTGCTACATGGGGCGTGTAGATTTTTCTAACTTTGAGTCATCTCCCACCACAGGACTCCTCAGTGTTCCCAATAAACTGGTGCTGTCTGAAGCAGCAAAACACTTCAGCTGGACTCAAAACAGCACTGCTGCCAACACCATTTCTGAACTGCCGTGATGACCTCCACCACTTTCCTTTCCATCCCCGACCCCATTTTGGTTACACAGATCATCTGGTTGAGGCAGGAATTGTCTCTCAGAACACACTTTAAAAACCCCACCGTGTATCTCGGTTCCATTTTAACAATGCAGAAAAGCAGCAGTTGTAGTAGTTTCCCACCTGATCTATGAACACTGAAGCACTACGTGTTGCTATTAACCAGGAAATGGAGGTTCAGCTCTGAAAGTCAGGAAGAGAAGGCTTCTGACTGCACCCGTAGTCATTTGAGTCAATCTGTGCTCTTGTACATCCCTCTCTCCTTGGCCATCCCACTGCGGACACTTCCGTCCCCCTCTGCAGAAATACTGGGGCTGTGTCAGGAACTCACCAAAGATCCCACCTATAACTAACTACCCAAAGCAGGTCAGTAATGACCACTTTCTCTTGTTTTGTGCATCCTTCTGAGGCTGGAAGAGGCAGAAACAAATCTGCTCACAACTCTAGGAAGATACATCAAGACCAGATACCGAACACAAGATCTTCCCTTGGTCTGACTCACCCATTACATCCCACTCTAGGACAGGTTCCAGGCAACAATACACCCCACTCTGACACTTCCAGCCACAGCAGCCAGCAAACCTTGGTATTGGATCAAATATGGATGATTTTATTTCATTTTCCCTCTTTGCCAAATAATGAAACATACAAAGTTGCAAAAAAGAAATACTGAAAATCTGATTTAACTTTTTTTGCCATCTTCATAAGTGACTTACAAAAAACTTGAACCCAAACCCTAGAAGACTGAAATAAATATTTCCTTATTTCCTGTTCAGTGTCTCTTCCATTGCCGGCAACTTAGTAATTTGTTGTCAAATGGGCTTTGTGCTGGGCAAAGGGATTTGGTAACATTCACCTTCTGTGATCCACAGATGGAAGAAACATCATGATACAAAGTGGGTCCAGAAAATCTATATGAAACATTTACTTAAGTTTTTGGACTGTTGTTTTCTGAAGCAATTGATTTTTGACGAAAAACAGATACAGGAAGATTTATGAAGTTACTAAAAAAGATTTTTAAAAGTACATTCTAAAGGGAAAGGTGGGCACGTGAACTTTAACGTCAGCCATTTTAAGGCAAACTGAAATGAAGCAGCCCAAGTTGGGCTTTAGCCAACCGGGGCCACATTTGACATGTCTGATCAAATTTTCTACTTCAGTTAAGTATTCCAGTAATAAACCACAAGATCGGTAGAAAGAATTTTTGGCCCCCTACTTCTCAGACAGACAAGCCTTCCCCAGTGCTCATCCCTCGAACAGGACCAGCAGACTGAGTGGTACCAGCTCAGTAGGTACCTCAACGTCACTTTTCATCACAACAAAGAATGGAAAAGGAGCTCAGAAAAAATTCTTAAGATTTGAGAGCGCTCACAGATACAATTCTTGGTGCCTGAGGATCTATCAAAATGCATTTCCTGAAGTAGTTCACTTTCTTTTCCCTGCCTTATTTCTGACACTACATAAACGGGCTGAGCAGATGACACTTGGTCTCTCCTCTGTGTGTGGTGAGTGATACAAGTGACAGAACAAAACCTCCAGGTTTCCCTGCTGCTCAGGCCGAGTGTGGCAGTGCCAGCCTGGCACGGTGGTGCCCATCGGTGCAGCTCGGAGCCCGGCCAGGCTGGGAGCAGGTGCAGTGGCCACACTGCATGGGGCTACCAGTCCTTGCTGCCCACGAGCCGGGCGGTTAAAGGGACAGAGCAGGCTCCGTGCAGGTGCTTTGTGAGACTGGGGAGCCTGTCCTGTGGCCCAGTCCACTCCTGTTAACAATGGATTGGGAATACCAACAGAAATCACAGCAACCTACGTGGCATCTTCGGAAAGGAAAGATTTAGTGTACGCAGAATCTATCAAGCTGTCCCAACACACACAAATCTGTATTTCAGTCTCTTAAAAAAAACTGATTGGGAAAATACTGGGAGGCTGAAGAATTCCATTTCATATTCTTACCTCGGGTGTAAATCAGAAATGTCTCCATTGAAAACTCTGCTGCTAGAAAAGCACGTCTGACCAGAGCAGGGAAAAATTAAAACAACCCAAGGGCTGTAAATCTCTAGATAGCATGCTATCGTTTTGTTCAAGCTATTGCTTCTGCTGCTGGTTCATGCAAACAGCTGAGTTCAGTTACACCATGAGAAAGGGTGGGGCTTCCTGTCTCATCTGATGCTCCGTCTGGGTGTGAAAATTAAGCAGCTTTCTCATTAGGGGCACAAACCACAAGACCAGACGCCGGTCTGATATAAGCAGGGAGAAACCCCAGAGAGAGACTGCTTGGGTTCAGAACGTGTCAGACATCAGAAGATAAAAATACACTGAAAGAGCCGAGAGAGAGAGCACATTTCCCCACCAGCACCAAATGCCCGTGTTGGCGCTGAAGCTGCAGTCGG